GTTTAATGATGGACGGTCTTTTAAGCTAATTCAAGCAGAATAGCCTACTGTCAAGATAATTATGGAGTGTGATTTATTTTCAACTCAAAATATCTTCAAACTAACGAAATATAAAGTTATTAATGAAGAAAATCTGTCTGGATAACAGCAGACTGACTGCTCGTAAAATATACGACAGGTCTGGACCACTCGTAAATTTTGTTCGTATCTGAAAAAAAATCTTACGAAAACATTGGTGAATGTCACAAATTCTCCTAAATCACTCGTACGCACAATTTAAGAACAAATCTGTGCGTACGAACGGCTCTTGCATGAGGCCCAATGACTTTATGACGAGGCAGTTCAGAGTTTTCAGCTGATTTGTGATGTTTTCTTTGCACCCTCAGCCGCAGTCTGGACAGCTTTGAGTCCTACTCAGGTAACAATATCAGAAATGTGTCATTCACCGGATATTATGGCTTCCACTTCATTCCCTCCACGTCAACCCACAGTTCAAGCCTGCTCATCTGTGTGGGTATCAGTGTTCAGGAGACACACGTAGAGTCGTAGCAAACGTCTTTAACATAGAATCATTTTCCAGCTGACTCTTAGATACGATTARGGGGATATTTTCTGTCCTAACTGTTTCAGGGTTCAACAGAATTCTCCTACAGTTCATCATCCACCGTGTCTACGTCTTCATCACAGACTTTTAGCTGTTTTCAGTTTCACACTCATCAGCTTTTCACTCTGAATGTGAGACGTGGTGTTTCCATGTGGACTGTGTGATGGCATGAACTGATTAGTTGTAGCTCGACCATTCTGCATTTCTCTTCATCCACTTCTATGTTCTTTTTTTTGTCACTTCATTATTTCTTCATCATCAGTGACTTTTTTAAGTGAAGAGAAAATAGAGACAGAGAGAAAAACACAGAGAGAAGTAATTAGATTTCTATGTTCTGACATTTTCCACGTGTGAAATAGAAAAAAAAAATAATTTCTGTTAAATCGTTTTGAAAACGTAATCTTTTTCGTTTGCTCTCTTAGACTCGCTGAGTCTCGCACTAACCCCCAGGTCCTGGACATTGGGGTAAACCCTCAGGACTTCAACAAGGAAGAGTGCCTGTCCCCCCCAGTCCAATGGGACCAAGACGAGGAAGACTCGACCGCACAAAAAGACACTTTGGGGTTTTAACGCAAAGCCTCTGTCAAGAAGGGAAAACCAGGGAAAGATGAGGGAGAAACTGTGGGGAAGCAAAGACCGGCGCTGATGTCATCAGGACGGTTTCCCACCTCCTCCTCCTCCTCCTCGCTGCCACGTCCTCRCACCGTCGCGGTCCTGTGGACCTCTGGTGAAGGACAACTCGAGCTGACGGCTCACAGAACAGGCCAAAGCAATACAAACAAGTCTAACCCCTCTTTGTTTTCTAYGAGCAACATGCAGTTACTTCACGTTTGTTACCGTCAGTGTGTTTTCTAGTTCGTTTTGAAGTTTTTGTTTACCCATTCTCTGTTGGTCATGTGTTCGTGTTACAGGAAGTTTGCGGGCGGATGTGAGAGCGATGATGTGAGTGAAGTCCTGTAGGTCAAAAAAGGTGTTGAAATGGAAAAACCTAGCAGGTCAGAGGGAAACTAAGCAGCTGACGCTCCAGTTCCCTGCTGGGTTAAATGGTAGAGTTACTACCTTTGTGCTTCGAGACGTCAGCCTTCTGCTGAGCAACAAAAGCTTTAAAAATGTGTGTGTGTGTTCAGCTAGGTTTTTAACAAGTAAAACAAAGTGACAATCCTATTTTTTTATTGCAAATGTATTTCTGCACTAAATGTTTCCACACAAGCACACAAGTCTTCATGTGAGGTCATTTATTTTCACATCAACTCATTAGTGCCTCGGTTCTCTTTCTCTCTTGATTTTATTTTAACAAAACTTATGTAACTCTGAGTCACTGGATCCAAAGTTTTAATGTTGCTTTTTTGATGGACGTGTTCTAAACTCCTGAAGATAACACAGTTAAGGCAAAACAATTGTCGCTCAGGCTAAAGAACGGGATTCAGATGAGGAGCAGAAAGAATATTAATATTTTTAACTAATTCTCTCTTTAATCGATCCTTTAATTCACAGAGTCTCAGTTGTAAAACAGATGTTTTGAAGGCACTCGACCATGTTTGATTTTGTTACGTGGCTGGTTTACTTTTATTTTCTCCCACTGAGACTTCCCAGTGTTATTTTTGTTTTGCATTTATTCTGACAGAAATTTAATTTAATTTACAGAATTGTCAATAAAAGTTTTTTATTGTTTTTGTCTGCGTAAGGATTTTTCTAAGTGTTGAGAGTGTACTGCTGGTTTGGTAAGACAAAATAAAAAAAGATTACCTTTCAATAAGTTATGATTTCACCCCTGTTAAATAAAATATATATTTAGACCAGCTTATTGATTATATACTATAAATAAAAAATATATAATTAGTTGCATTTCTGAAGAAATTCAGTTGATTATTATTAGTGTTTTTCACCATAAGGTAACCCACCCCCAATTATATTATTTTAATCCAAATGAATATAATCTGCACATTTATCATAAGTATTTCAGAAAAAGAAGTGAAAAATTGTAAAGTTTATATGCATTACCAGATTTACYGGGTTCTTTACAAATGATAAATATTTGTTATATCAGCTAAAATTAGGCCAGTCCATGTATTGAAAATCYTAATCATATTCAAAATTATAAATAKTTTARTARTTTGCRCAACARATGGTTGGTTTTAGGGAAACCTTGACTCTGGACGCTTTTAAACATTTTTAAAAGTTTAACAGAAGTGGAAAGAGTTTCATTTGAACTCCTGCAGTTCACAGATTTGTCCAGAAGATGTCACTAAAACAACCAGAAACTGAACAAATATTCACCTTCTCAGTTGTTGATTAATCCTCATGTTTAAACTGTGAAAACAGTTTTTTTTGCACTTTTTATATTTGTCTTTTCACCTCAGCAGCTTGTGAACCATCACCCTCAGAGCTCACAGACAAACTGAGGGAATAAACATTTGTTATCAATGAGGTTTTATTGCACTTTTTAGTGAAAATCTGTCTAATTTAAAGTGTTTTAAACGGATTATGAAAATTTCTCTTTTAGTCAATAAGTCTGCAAAAAGAATCTAATTATATAGTTGAATAAACTATTACAAACTCACAGCGCTGTGATGTTATTACATTGTGCAAGAAATGTGTGTAGTTTTATTTGACCGATGACATACTCATGTTATAAATCACACAGACAGCTTTTGCTTTATTGTATAATTTATTTGTGGTCAAGCAGAGATCAGATCTTTAAAAACAAACCATAAACATCTTGTTGTGAAACAAACATAAAGAACATAAAACACATTCTTACAACTTCTCGTCTTTCAGTTTTTCTCTCTTTGAAAAGGAAACATCTCTGAACAGAACCACAATGATGCCTCTGCTTTGACATGCAATGAGTTTGGAGCCTTTCAGGTTTATTTATTGATTTTATTTTTATTTTTGGGTGGTGGTGGTGGGGTAACCATAACTCAAATCCTGAGTTATCATAAACCCCTCAGTCCAGAAAACTGGATGTGTTGGAAAATAAACTCGGATTTATTGTGGATGAGCTTTCGAAGCGGGTGAAGAGGGCTTGCTGTTAAGAATACTAAAATACTATTTCCTCTTTGTCACACTATGTTTTTTCTTTTATAAATTGATTTTAAGAGATGTGATGATATGAATGATTTGTGTTTTTACGACAGGCAGTTGATAAAGTGTGTTAAAACCCAGTTTGAAAATAYTTTCTCTGTTACTGGTCAGCACAACACTAGTTTATCTCTTGGGCTTAGTAACCTAATGATTCACAAACCAGTTACATGGTTTAACTTGTAAAAAMATGTTACAAACAAATTATCAGGCTCTGGATTGAAAGCAATTTTTTAAAAAGATGCTAAAATCCAAAGAGAACGGCTTTACAACTACTTTAAAAAATCTGGCTCCTTGGAGATAAATTACAAAGAAATTAGGAAATATGTTATCAAGTTTCTTGTTCTTATTTTTTATTATTTTATTTTCATTTTTTTAAGTTTCTTGTTCTTATTTCATGTTTAAAGTCTCTATTTATATTGTATCAGACATGCCATGTCTGATATATACATATTGTAAGATTATACCACCATTTAAACCAAATGAATCTTGTTGCAAATTTATAACCATACTTCTGGAAAACTCCAACACTCAGACATGGTTCAGGCCTGTGGGTTAATTTCTTGAGTTTGATTTATTTTGAACACTAGAGGGCGCCACAACCCCGAGCGTCAGGAAGCAACGGAGGAATGAAATCATTATGAAATGAATGAGGAGCTGCCAGTCCGAACAAAGACGCCTTTTCTTTTCTTTCCAACATTTCGATTGAGATAATTGATTGCAAACTGTGAAAAAACAAACAAACAAAAGTTTTCTTTGAACTCTTGTGTTTACTTCTTTATAAATTATTGGGACTCTCCTGGTACCAAGAGTTTCTATTTGCTTTCTGAGTTTATAATCTGGATGAAGTTGCCTGTTGCACAAATAAAACACTCCCCTTCTGTCTGGAAAAGTGCTGTGAAGTCATATCGGCCCTGCAGACACATTAAATCGACAGACCAAAGGAATGCAGGGAGGGGAAAAAAAAAAAACTAATTTCCAAAAGCTGGATCTCAGTGGGGGACATGTATCAAGTGAGAGGCAGAACTTTCTCAAGAAGCTGATCTGATGGTAAAATGAGAGCTTTGGAACTGCCCCCCTTGTTAAGTAGCTGATGGTTGAGGAACTCTTCCCACTTGGAAAGAGGCTTTTCCTTCTTGGACATCTGCTGGTGGAGCCTCCAGAAGCCTGACAGAGGAGACAGGGGTCCATCAGAACCTCCTGGCATTTCTCTGCTGTCTCACAGGGAGGGCTGCTCTCACTTTTGGTCCTTTCACCTTTTTGTTTCCTGAGGACTTTTAACAGGTCAGTACAACATCCATTGTCTTATGAGACCTTTAAAAATTACATTTATTTATTTTTAACAAAAATCTGGAAAATTGTTATTTTTAATTTAGTTTTAGCTCCTTGTTTATCTTAGAGAGCTCGTGTCTTTTCTTTGAAGCTTCAAAAAGCTATTTATTGCTCCTTTTTTWAAGATGTGTCATCTTTTAAATGAAAATGTAGACAGATGAAGCAGAAGCAGGGTGGACATATTTAATGAGACTTAAAATACATTTTTAATCATTTTATAGGATTTTTATGCCGCTCTGTTTCCTGCAGTGTTGTAGCTTGTGCACCAGGCGGGGTACAGAACCTGTGGTTGGGTGTCTTTTATTTTCCTTTTCCTTTTTCTATCTCTCTCTCTCACTCTAAGAAACAAAATCTGAAAAAAAAAAATCTAATCACTAAAATGTATTTGCTCCTTTCAAACTTAAAATCAGCTTTTAATTTTAAAAAATGGCTGCTACGTGTGTTCCACATATACCAAAACAGAATAGATGCATTTCTTTTGTGTCAGACTCAGTTTTTTTTCTGGTTTTCCTAAAAGCAGAGGCAGACATCCCTGCAGGGCTCAGAAAAGTCAGAACCACAGGTTAGACTCTGCTGCATGTAGAGATCTGCACCGTCAACCACCAAAGCCCATCAAAACAGCCAGAAAGCAATAAATTTTCTGTCTTTCGAAAGTCCTCACCGATGAGTTGGAGTTAATTGTTTTCTGTTTTTAAAGACTTCATTATTAAAGCCTCACAGTCTGTCATTCAAGTGCTAATGATACCTCAGGGCTATGAGTGTTAGGCAGCCAGGTGTGGCTCTTATTGTGTGGAGGAGCTTTGATGGTGCACTTTTTAAAAAAAAATGTTTTGGTTTCTTTTTGTTTTTCTAAAGAAAGCTGTGAAATAAATTAGTCAGGTGAGTTTATGATGCTGTCTCCCACCACAACGTGCAGCTCAGCCGTCTCCCTCCATCTGCAGGTTGATTGATGCGCTGCTGATCCTTCAGGGGTGAAACATGAAGATCAGGCTGTCGTTGACCACGGCCRCCCTCCTCGCAGCCCTGCTGGCCTCTATAGAAGCTCAAGGTAAATGAAACCACCTGGCCTCTCTCCTCTTACGTAACTGTCCTCCTCTGGCTCTTCACCTCTTCTTTTCCTTTTTTGCTCTCCGCTGGTTCCAGGATTTAGCTCTCGACTTTATATGTCCAAAAAAAAATGAATCAAACCCAATAAAGTTGCTGTTTTTCTTCATGCTGTGAGTGATTCCTTGCTGATTTTGAATCCTCTCTGACTTTGTTTTAAATCCAAACCCAGATTTCTTGTACTTAACCTGCAATTTTCTCCAAGCAACAAAAGCAAATCATTTTTTAAAAAACTTCTGACTAAACGCACTGAAGAGCTCGCCAAGAGTAGACTGAAAATCTTTTTACGAGCTTCCCAATAAATTCTGGAACAAGGTTTCAGCTTTTTTTTTTAAGTTTTACGGCTGCAAATGTCCCAAAGCAAGATGGGAAAAATGCCAAAATTCTTGGCAGTTAAGCTACAGCATGTTTTTAATGCGACGGACCTCGTTATTTATTTATTTTTTTTGAGTGCCTCCAGCAGGAACGTAAAAGTGATGAATGTTAAATCCAATGATTTAAAACAGCTAATACAAATTTTAGTGRAGAGTTCGAGAGGCAGCTCCTCTAAGTCTGAGGTCACGGTTCTCTGGGTTGGGGCGGGAGTATCTGTGCATCCCGTTCACGACTGATGGCAGRAGGAGGTGAATCGACGTATCAGAGCCTCATCCTCAGTAATGAGGGTGTTGCTTCGGTCGGTCAAGGTGAAAAAAAAAAGAGCAGAATCCAAAATGGGTGAGATCCAGGGTGCAAGCAGCTGAAATGAGCTTAAGGTGGTCAGGTTTAGTCTTAGAGATAAGGGTGAGGAGCTGCATCATCATCCGGCAGGAGCTCGGAGCAGAGCCGCTGCTCCTCTGCATCAAAAGGAGTCAGATGAGGTGGTTGATTAGGTTTGATCAGGATCCCTCCTGGTTGCCTGAGGGCTTTCAGAACAGTCCCGCTGGGGAAGAGGCCCCGGGGTAGACCCAGAACTCGCTCCACGGATTGTGTATCTTTGGAGTGGGAACACCTTGGGGGTCCCCCAGGAGGAGCTGGAAAGTGTCACCAGGGAGATGGATGTCTGGGTTTCCCTCCTTGACCTGCTGCCACTGTGGAAAAGTGGTAGAAGATGAAGATGGAGGCTGTGTAGTTAAAAAAAGTGAAAATCTAGACTTGAGAACAATCAAAAAGTAGTTAAAACCAGACGTTTTCCTCCTCAACTCCAGTTCTGAGCTTCACCACGACTGTTTTAGTCCTAGATGTTTAACATCCTGTAGATGGAAGAGTTTTGACATGAGATGACTTATTGTGATCTCTAATTGCAAACAGTTCGGTCTGAACTAAAAGCAAGTATAGATTTATCGTATGGACCCCCCCTCCCCTCCCCCCAACTCCTTTTGGGAGCTCTCTTGTCTCCCCTCRCATATCTTCACTAACAGAATGGAAAGATGAAATACGAGAGGAGCAAATGAATCCTCCGACAGCACAAAGACAAAGAGCCTTTCTGAGGGTGTTCTGCGGGCATCCGCAGAAACGCTGAGCTTGCAGGACATATGGAAAGTTAATACGCGCTAACGTCAGCACATGTTGCGGAGTTACTTTGGCTTCTGTCCCTGCCTCGCTGGGAAGAGTCGGTGGTCTTTCCTCCTCCTCTTGCCGACTGTCTGATTGGTTAGAGGTTGAGGAAACACAACAGTAGCCAGACTCCGGGCCCCTGGGAGCCAGAGGTGTTCCTTATTAGGAACCGACGGGGCCCACCGTTCAAATAACAAGAGCAACCACAAGCGCCGAAACAGTACACCAGAGATTGTTATTTCAACAAAACCACATTTGTTCCTCGAGCTTTATTTTATTTWTTTTTTTTAAACCAGAAGCACATATGGTCAAACCGACTGTAACAAATTATAATGACACACTCAAACCATTTTTTCCAAGAATAAATGTGGAAGTGACTCGTGAATCATTGCGCCTGCAGACCCACTTTAAACAATTGTCTGAAAACTGTRCGATCCATCACTTGCAACACACAAACCCTCCCCTCCTACAACACATGTTCTGYATCCCCGTTTGATGCTGGAGACGAAGAAATCAGGGGCGAACACAATCCATCGAGGATCCTTGAGTTGAAGCGCCAGGTTGGTGATCCTCCAATCCCAATTTTTTTTATAAAGTACTCGGCAGGCTCCTGTTTGTCATCTGCCTGTGCGTTCATTGTGTCCCAAGCTATGGCCTTCTCCTCATAGTGTATTTTACAATGATATTCTGGGATTRACACTTTGTATTCACACAATGCATGCTCATTTACCTAACATCTATGCATTTAAATTGAAAAGTCATGCATTTTAACAGATTTAAACATAACATTTATTATAGTAAATTAATTTTTTTGAGAAATTAGGATTTGATTTAACATTGCATGAAACATTTAAAATGTTAAAACTAATGGGAGATATGAGCTTACAATTTTAATCCCTTTTAATTCATTCGGTGGTGTTTTTTATTTTCTTTTTTTAAAATTAATCATACTAAATATCAACACACTCAAACTTATRAGCCATTTTTTAACGTTTTATTAAAAACGAGAGAATATCATTCTAAAATACGTTTGTCATCTGTGTCTGTGTGGTCCCACCTTGTACATGGAAACCTCCTCATTGTCCCCCCCCCACCCCAAGTTGTTGAGACAAACAACTTTCTCATGTACATGATGCATGACGCCGCCATCGACTCAGCTGAATGTGAAGACACGTCACACATTTTGTTCTACTTGTTGTATTCATGTACACTCTCTCTCTCTGTTGTCACCTTTTATATTKTTTTAAGTCTGAAGACATTTTCTTGTGCATTTTGCTGCAAGAGAAAAAAAAAGTACACAAGAGTCTCCAGCGACGAATTGTGTATTCTTTTGAACGGTTTGCAATGGATGACTGACTGGTGCAAACCGAATAAACAACAAACCACTTTGTTTTGTTTTTTTTGTCTGAAATATGTTTATATACGAYGTGTATATATAACATATGGTGTTCAGCTCTACAAGAATTATTTCAGTAACTGTATGATCTTGATTTCATTGTGTAAACTTGGAGAATGAAGTCACTGTTTTGGTTTGAAAAACTGAGCTCAACTTCATCATAAAAGAAGTTTAGTTTGTGGTCAAGGCATGCGACGTAATGCCTGCACTTAGCATGTGTTGTGTTKTTCACTCACTTTGGTGGATTTTGTGTGGAGTTGTGCACACCATGTGTTTACCAGTGCTTGAGTTGCAGGCCGTTCCCGGCTGGGCAACTCAAACGAGCGCCATTTTCCTCCCCCTCAAACAAAATGGCTTCTCCCTCCTTTATTTTTTTTWATTTTAATGTTGTCCCATGTTCTGTCACTCTCACATACTGATGTCAGTTCAATGTGCCTGCCCTCCCAACAACGAACAAATACGCTTCAGTCATGAAGTGTTTGTAGTTGGGATTAATGTGAATGCTTGAACACATTTAAAATATCTACTTACATACAGACCAGTCATGTGTGGTGGGATTTAACAACGTGTCGTTTTTTTTTTTTGTTTGCAGTGGAACCGCCCTCAGATTTGAAATTTAAAATTCTAAATGAGAACACAGTGGAAATGTCATGGATAAGACCCTCGGTAGCGATAGAGGGCTTCAGAATACAAGTCGTAACAGATGCAGGTAAGTGCGAAGCAAGGTGCTCCTTTAACGTTTAAAGCTCCGCGACGTTCTTGTGTTTACGCAACTTTCTTTTCCCAGATGAACCAGCCAGAGATTTTACACTCAGTGCAGAAACAACAACAACCTCCATCACCAACCTGACTCCTGACTTGGACTACACRGTGACAATAAACTCCTTCTATGGTTCAGAGGAGAGCATCCCCATCTATGGACAACTGACAAGTAAATACATGTAGTTTTCTTGACGACGTTTTAGACCTTGGCTGCTTGTTCCACTCATTTTAAGGCCAYTTATCTGAGCTGTGAATATTCAGGGATGTGAAAGATTTTAAACTCAATAGCAAAAAGTACCATTTTTAACTTGAATTTTTAGGCATTTTCTTAGTATTGATTTGATTTGATTTATTGATTCAACAGGAAAAGCTTACTAAAAATCAAGCCTGACTCAGCATAATTGCTGTTTTACAGCAGGTTCCTGTTCTGCAGCACATAAAACACTCAGAAATACACCATCACAATAACATCATTATACACCATAGACACAAAGACAAACAAGCATACCAATCGACCTGTCACAAAGACAACATTTGTTGCCATTTCCTTTACTGAATCTCTGAAAAATGTCAAATAGCGATTTGAGACATAAAAAAAATATTTTAGCGCGAACAAAGTGATTCCCAAAAAAGATAACCAACAGAATGACTACAAACCTGTGGGATCCTTTGTCAGAACTTTGCGGAACTTCTTCTTCTTTCAAACCAAAACAATGAAAATTTGACAACTACTACGGTTTTAAAATTTGCTTTAGGACCAGAGGTGTCAAAAATATTCACATTCATTACTTAAGTACTAGGGTTTAAAAATACGCTTTTTGAAGTAGAAGTATCAACTCAAGATTTTTACTCAAGTAAAAGTATAAAAGTACTGGTTTTTAAACTACTTAAAATATAAAAGTAAAAGTAATGAACACTTAAAAAAAGCCATTAAGGATAAAAGCTTAGGCTGTGCAACCTATGATGGAGTGCATTCAATCCAATAGGATGTCAGAATGGTATTTGCACTTCTCACCCAACCACAGTCAAATTYACTCTATCCATGGGCTCCATGTATCTGGATAGATTTCTATTTATTTATTTATTTCTGAACAATGAAAAGATGGAATAAAAACAAGTCAAAGTTAAATATAAAAGAAATACTTTTTGCATTTTTAAAAAGTAAGGAGTAGAAAGTACAGATAATTAAATTAAAATGTAAGGAGTAGAAGTAAAAAGTAGTCTGAAAAATAGATTCTCCACTAAAGTATAAATAACCAAAATTTCTACTTAAGTAAAATAAAGTATTTGTACTTAGTTACTTGACACCTCTGTTTAGGAGAACATTGTTTTGTACTTTTAACCAATATTGCATTTTCRGTTTCAGGTAATGTTTCATAAACAGCATATTTGTGCAAATATTGTCAGAAAATTAGAAATTAAACTTTAGGAATTATACGCCTGTTTYGTTGCTCCTCAAAACTCAGAAATATGGAAAAAGTGAAGCCATGTAGTTTCCATTTGGCCCCAGAAAATGTTGGAAAGTAGCACGAATTAACATCTGTTTACCGCCTCGAGTTGTTCTCTTTTCACAGCTTATGAATGCGGTTTTGATCCTGCGGACTGGCTTTTATGATGTGTTGAATTTTTTATTTTTATTTTTTGCCTTTACTCCCTCTCTGTAAAAAAGTACACAGTGGATCAGTCCGCCAAGTCACCAAGTGTTCCCTTTTGTTTCAGTCCAGTCGAGTAACACCAGTGGACGAGTCAGGAGGCCGCAGTCAGATGCAATCAGTGAGTATGTTTACTAAAGTGTCAACCAAAAAACCCTGAACAGAACCAGTTCCTCCACTCAGCGCTCCAAAATTTTCAATGCATTGTTTCCCTTTTTTATTGTCATCATAATGTTTTGTTTGCCGTGCGGCTGCTACCAGGTAAACAGACAAGAGTTTGACACTTACTGGAAAGGTACACATTGGGTAATTTAATTCAAACCAGTGGGCTCATCCAAAAGAAGAAACTATAGAGCGAGGAAGTAGCTTACTTTGTTATGAGTCAGGGACTAAAGAGGTGCAGGAAGGTAATGTCAACCACAGAAACTGTAGCTACGACGCCAAATGAAAGTCATGCATGTACAACCAATCAAATTGACCAATAAATGTCTTTTTGAGACCGGAGAGTTGTATTCAACGAGAGCAAGGGGAATGAGGGTTAAAAGTAATCCCTGCCAATTTAGCTTTAATACAGTTTTACGTGTTCCAGAAAATTTCATTGATGATTTAAATCCTTGTAGACATTGCTGGTGGAAGCTCTGCTGAATGTTTAGTCTGTGGAGCCACATTCAGCTTCCATCCGCTGGGAGAGCTGAAGCAACTCCACTGTTTTGGCATCGTCTGAGTTTTCCTCTGATGTCTGTACGCAGTTCTTACCCATCCAAAGTTTGATTTGATTTAGACAGTCAGAAATGAAAAAAATAGTCAGTCACAAAAGGCTTAGTCGTCAATGTTTTGGCTTTCCTCACAGACATCAGTAACCAGTAGAGCTAATCTAGATACATTAAAATTTATGACATAATGGTTCTGCCTTGACTGGTGATCACAAAAGTTATTTATTTATTTATTTATTTATTTTACAGAATGTTCCGTTAGTGCCATAGCAGATCTGGTTTTTCTGGTGGACGGCTCTTGGAGTGTGGGCAGAGAAAACTTCAGACACATCCGCAGTTTCATTAGYGCCCTAGCAGGGGCCTTTGACATCGGAGTAGACAAGACTCGAGTGGCTGTGGTTCAGTACAGCACTGACACCCGCACAGAGTTCCCCCTCACCCGTTACATCAGAAGAGGAGACCTGCTCCAAGCTATAAACTCACTGCCGTACAAAGGAGGGAATACAATGACTGGTAAGGTGCTCATCAGATAAAAAAAAAGATATTCAAAATCTGAAAAATAACACATTAATGCTTGTGTTTAAAGGTGATGCCATAGATTATTTGATAAAAAACATCTTTACTGAGGCTGCTGGGTCAAGAAAAGGTTTTCCAAAGGTTGCCATGATCATCACTGATGGAAAATCTCAGGACTCAGTGCAGGAGCATGCTGAGAGACTTAGGAACATTGGAGTGGAAATATTTGTCCTAGGTATGTTTTTATTTTTTCTTCAGTGTCTCGTGAAATYGTGCTCTCCGATGTAAATGTCTTCCTGTTCTTGGAAACAATTCAACTTTCCACTGGTTTTTCATCTTCAGATTGATATTTGCCTCAGAAAAAGAGAAATACTATTGCTTTTCTTTGACTATTCCAAAGTTGTTATGTTTATCACATCTGCAAAGCACACAGGAAGAATAAAGTTTGTCGTACATTTTTCCGTGCAGGTATCAAAGGAGCAGATGAGGATGAGCTCAAGGAAATTGCGTCTACACCTCATGGCAAACATGTGTACAATGTCCCCAACTTTGATCTGATCCAAGAGGTTCAGAAAAAGATCATCATTGAAGTTTGCTCCGGTGTTGATGAGCAGCTTAGCTCCCTGGCCAGTGGGGAAGAACGTAAATCATGTTTTTTTTAATCAGTGAGGATTCTCTACTCTTTGTATGATTGCTTTTGGATAATAGTTGACAACTGATTTTTTTCTTTTTCCAGTGGTAGAGCCAGCCACTAACTTGCAAGTCACAGAAATTGCATCAAAGTCAATGAGGGTGACTTGGGATCCTTCCCCCGGTGAAATCACAGGCTATAAACTCACCCTTAGTCCCATGGTACCTGGAATGAAGCGCCAAGAGCTTTACATAGGACCCACACAGACATCCATCAATGTCCGTGACCTTTCCCCTGAGACTGAGTACGAGATCAGCTTGTTTGCCCTCAAAGGTTTGACACCAAGTGAACCCATCCTGGATCTGGCAAAGACTCAGCCGGTCAAAGTATTAACAGGTAAGGAGATTTATTTTTAACAGATCGTCATGCTATTTTGTTTAGTCGTGGCATAATCTGTGATTTCTCGTCTCTTTCAAGAGTGCTCCCTTGGAGTGGACGTGCAGGCTGATGTGGTCCTACTGGTCGACGGCTCGTACAGTATTGGATTAAACAACTTTGCTAAAGTCCGTGCCTTCCTCGAGGTTCTGGTCAACTCCTTTGACATTGGACCCAACAAAATYCAAATTAGCTTGGTACAGTACAGTCGTGACCCACACACTGAGTTCGCCCTCAACACCCACCATGACATCAACGCAGTCGTCAGAGCTGTGAAAACCTTCCCCTATCGAGGCGGTTCCACCAACACTGGCAAGGCCATGACCTACGTCAGGGAGCGGATCTTTGTCAACTCCCGAGGAGCCAGAGACAACGTCCCTCGTGTCATGGTCCTGATCACTGACGGAAAGTCTTCAGACACTTTTAAGGATGCTGCCACTAAGTTGAGGAATATCGATGTGGAGATTTTTGCCGTTGGTGTGAAGGATGCCGTGAGGTCGGAGTTGGAATCCATTGCCAACCCACCGGCAGACACTCACGTCTATGAGGTGGAGGACTTCGATGCCTTCCAGAGGATCTCCAAGGAGCTGACTCAGTCCATCTGTCTGAGGATTGAACAGGAGCTWCTAAAGATCAAAAAGAGAAGTATGTAGGAAAAAGCTTTCAGTTTACTTTAACTTATTAGCGTCKGTTTTGTTGTGTTTTGTGAATGATTAATATGTGGTAGAGGATTTATGAGGGTCCATCCAATATATTACCCAATATAATCTGTTTTCTAAWTTGCAACAAAAGGTGAAGTAGCAAAGAACCAGACATTAAAAAAACAAAACAAAAAATAATTAAGCTGAGTTCTATTTTACTCAAAGGTCAGAATTCACATCTGGGATGTATATTACTGCAACTCCTTGTTGCAAGTCAAAAAACAAGTAGGATTTATTCATTTTTGTGCTCATTGACTAGAATACCCCTATATTTAATCCATTTCTGTTAAAAAAGTGCTGTGTTACATGCATTTTAGGRTTTAAGCAATATGTTCATTAATATACTGTAAATGCTACAGTAATTTGTGTGCAAGTGATTTAATGAGATGCAATCAGACAGAAGTGCAAACAGTTTGTCACTGCAACTTTTTAAAGATCAAGCAACCATGATGGATGTTTTCCTTGGAGTTGTTTAGGAACTTTTAACTTTTTTAATTTGAGTTCCTACATTAAGGGGCCATTTATTACAGCCAGTTTATAAAAAAAAACTTGGCTCTCACTATTAAACTTCATCTGTACATCCTTTTTGAACAAGATCTATTGCAGTATTTGACATTATTTTCTGTTTAAACACAACGCCGGCACAATTGCCACATTTTATTAAAAAAGTCACTGCGGGTTTGTGGAAAAATGATGTCAAGTTATTTGAGTGACAAAATACCCTTTTTTATTATACTATTCTTGCTTAATGTTGACCTGATTTTAGTCTGAATGCCTTCTTGACAGAAAATCTCAAAAATCAATTTTATTTTTTGCAGATCTGCTTCCTCCCACTGACTTGCGGTTCTCAGAGATCACCAGCCGAAGCTTCCGTGCCACCTGGACACCTCCTGCTGCTGCGGTTTTGTCTTACTTACTGCGATTCCGTAAGGCCGAAGATGTCACTGGAGACTATATTTCCATGATAGTGCCTGGCAATACCCCCACAGCCATTCTTCCCAATCTGTTCCCCGTCACCACCTACGAAGTCAACGTCTTTTCTCAGTATGAAAAAGGAGACAGTTTCTCTTTGACCGGTGAAGAAACCACKCTTGAAGGTAAGCGCTTTGCTTTGATTTGACATAAAACAGTCAAACAGAGAAAAGATTCGACACTTATTTTATACRTTTTCTTTTCAGAGAAAGGCACTGTACGGAATCTACGAGTCACAGAAGAGACGACAAACAGTTTTAGGGTGTCATGGCAGGCTGCTCCAGGTTCTGTGATCAGATATCGCCTGTCTTATGTTCCACTCAGTGGTACAGGAGAAATACTGGAGGCTCAAACCATTGGACCAGAAACCACCATAGTTCTCCAAGAGCTGTTCCCAATCACCACCTACCGCGTGTCGGTGTCTGCTGAGTATGATACTGGCATCGGAGATGAGATGCAGGTGGATGGTACCACCAAGGAAGGTGAGTCTGCAGACTACGGTTCAATAAAACGTTTGGGAATGATTAGTTTTCTAATCGAGGTTCATTTTTCTTTCAGTCCGTGGGACTCCTCGTGACCTTCGAGTGTTTGATGAAACAATATCTACAATGAAACTGGCGTGGCAGGCTGCTCCAGGAAACGTTCTCCAGTACCGCATTGCCTATAAGCCTGCAGAGGGAGGTGATAGGAAGGAGATAACCGTCAAAGGAGATACAACCCAGGCTGTGCTGAAGAACCTCCAACCAGCCACAGAATATGAACTATTTGTTTCTGCACGCTATTCAAGTGGCCAGGGGGATCCTCTCCTGGGTACAGGAACCACTTTAGAAGGTAGGAACAAGTCTCACACTGCTAATGTAAAGTTTTTAAGGCTTGTTAAGAACTATTTTAATTGCCAAAGTGAAGTTTTGCTGAGGTACTTCTGAAGATATACCTTGGCTTAAAATGATCCCACTCTGTTGGGTGCACAAAGGAGGCATCATCTGATACTTCTCATCAGAATTATTCATTTTATTTAGCCTTTCTATGATTATCAGGTTATTGATTTGTAAAAAGGAGAGATAATTCTGTTGGTAGAGATGGTTTTTGGGCTGACCATGATAGGACAGAGATGGAAATATGTACTTTGTAAACTTTAAACGTCTTGGAGCAACATGCCTGGTTGGAAAAATTTTAATATTTCAGTCTGGGTGTATGATTTATTGTATTGGTACATATATTTTGTTATCAATCACATATATCATGTTTATTTTGCTGTAAGTAATGGCTGCTGATTGCTCGCCTTCAGTTAAACCCACAGCTGGTCTGCAGCTGTGGGTTGTATTAGTGCACACAGCTAAAGGTGGTCTTCTGTTCATCTCACACAGAGCAGGAAGTTTGTTGTAGTACCACACCACAGGAAAAGAAGTTAGAGACAGAGAGCTAAGGAGGGGCAAGGTCTGAGAAGTCAAGAACAAAGACCGTTTGTCTGCCAGAGAAGAATATCCCTTTTAGCGAGTTTCACTGAAAAAAATCAAGAAAGTTTGAGGTAAATGTTAGTCTCTGAATTTGGTTTTACAATAAAATAATTTGCTTTGCGTAATGATCTGTGCCATGGTAAGGTAAACTGAATTAGTGTTTTGGCTCAAACGGTTCAGGAAATGGCAAAGAGGAAATTAGGATTGTCTGTTTTCAATGATGTGTTCCTTCTCTGGGTGCTCACAGATCAGATACTGGCTTTGCAATAATTAGAAAATGTTGGACTGTATATAAGTGCAGAGAAGGAAACAGTCTTGTGGCTGTCTTGAACTATACCCACAGTTTATTCAACCTTAATGGGACTCTGGTCTGAAAGCAGTTGGGGCCTTGATTATGCTGAAATATAAAATAAAATTTGTCTTCCATGTTGCTCTTCAACAGTGTAACAAGTAAATGGTGCTAAACATGTACTAAACAAATGTGCTTTTGTTAATCTTTGTGTGYATAAATAATACACACAGGATGTTGCTGAGAGAAAGGTTATTTTCTTTGCTGATTTTCATTCTCAAACTGATTAAAGGGCCTAGTCTTGATTACAGAATAGGCTTCCATAGGTCAGATCTGTGCTGACATCAGATGCACACCCACTCAGGAAAAAGTCTCAATGACAAAGCATTTTTTAAGCCATCTAAAAGCTGTAAATCTGTCTAGCCACAACAGTCATCTACTTGTGCTCCATGCTATTCATTTTAAGTTTCCCACTCTGTGAAGTCCGTGTAGGCAAAAAAGTGGGAGAAAGCAGTTTTTGCACAAAGAGCTCCCTTGTGGCTCATRAGAGGTGCTAGCCAACACAGAAGCCTTGAGCTCAACAGAAACATCCTGAAATGACTCRAAGAGCTCAAGCCAACCTCCCAAATGTGGATATTATACACAGACATGGTGAAATTATTTWTTTAGGAGTGGGGAGCTTTAGTCAGCAGGTGGAAGATGTTACAAAATTTCACCTTGAGATGTGGATGAGCTGTCTGTTCCGTCTGAAAGAGAACTGTCTGCTCATCTTCCTCGAGGGTGGAGCAAAGGGCAGGCAGAGACAAAGCATCAGGATGGGTGAAAAAWAAATAAATAAAAAGAAGCCGGAAGCTATTCAGACTCAAAAGAGTCAAATTTTCCTAAGTTGTACCCACTTTGCCAAGTGAACCGCTTGCATAATACCTGTCTAATGTTTCAAATTTGACAGCTTTTGCTTAAATTTATCTTTAAAAAAACTATGCCTATGGCTCCTTTTAGAAATCTCAGAATCTGTTGATGTTGTCAGATTGGTTTTCTCTAAAAATTGTAAAACCCGGCCAGGAGTAATACGTTTTTTTGCTGACAGGCACTGAGGACTTCATCTGTGTGGCTCATGTGTATGTAAAAAGGAACCAAGAGAAATAAAGAAACTTGGGCGCCAGTGCTGAGATGGCATGGCGATTTTTGTTTCCAGGAGTACATTTGAAATGATTTACAAAAACAAACAAAAAAAAAMCCTTTTGTGAAAAGACACGATGCAGTCTTTTGAGGCATGAGACGATTGCCACGATATAGTGAAGTTTTATGTCTTTTTTTTTCCTTTACTCTCTTGTAGTTGAGACATTTTTGGCTGTAGATGCAAAGCTTATGTAATCCCCACAGAAAAGGATATTTATTGTGACATATGTGGTTTTCTGTAGACATTCAAACTGCTGTAATCTCAGATCTTAATTTCAGAGTCTCCGGCCTTGATACCGGATGATGGAGTGTGGGCTCCTACAAAGAAGTGGCTGCRATCCTTTCTCTGTTATAATTATAGCTGCAAATAATCAAGCAACATGTAAACATATTTTTTATAACTAAACACAGTTGGAAAGCTGACAAAAAATAACAAGACTAAATATTTACTGCTTGGCTGTAAGGTTTAGCCGGCCTGCGTGCCATGTGTTTCGTGCTTTGCTTCTTTTGGAGTGGCCCCTTCTCTTTGGCTCGTCTGAAAACGGAGCCGCCGTCTGCAGAAGTCATTACCTTGTGATCTTTTCACCCCACACTTCACACACACAGCTGGAAAAGTCAGTCAAGTTCATCCACCTCTTTCTGCTCTGCAATGATAAATCTTCTTACTGGAGGATCTGGATATTTGTAAGCGGTCCGATCTGTTTTCATGGCTGTTTAGAATCTGGAACTCTTCATTAGTTTGCGGCCATTGTGCTTGAAAAATGCCTTTGCTCTCAAGGAGCAGGTTTAATGCTGCCGTTTCTTTCCTCTTGAGACCAGCTTCCAGGCAGACCAGATTGATGCTGAGGAGAACTCAGAGGATGAAAGACCTGGACAGTGATTGGCTTGTGAGRTTTTGGAAGAATTGTGCAATTCATTGATGTAAATTCGGGCTGCAGGTCAATTCTAGTAAGGTTTGAGATAGACCACCCTGCATCAAGGCTCTGCAGTGTTTGTGAGTATATCATCATTGGCCGCAGGCATGGTGGAGTTTAGGAGCCCGAAAGTGGCTCAGAGTCCATGATGCTGTGTGGGGGTTTTGTGCAACAGCCCATCTTCCTACAAATGATCCAGCTCTATTAAGCCTGAAGAGCCCACCTCAACAGTGGGTATCCCTCTAATCCAAGCATCTGCTTGCTGTCTATCATGAAGCACCGTCGTAAAATTCCCTCCCKTTTGTTTCTTTGTATTCCCTATTCCTCAATAATCCCCCCAGGAAAAGTGAGTGGAAAGAAAAGGGGGCAAGCTCAACATCTGCAAGTGTAGAAACCACATTTTGTGGATCTGGTTTCCTCAGCTTCCATGGAAAACTCTCGTTGTGCTGGGAGAGGAGATGTGATTTGCGATGGGTTTCGCAGAACTTTTTCCAGGAAGCGTGCTGAAAATCAAGTTGCTCAGACAGATCCCGGGAGGTTAAAGTGGAGACAGATGAGTGAGCGCTGGTGGTTTATGGCTAGAGCTGATGCTTTTTGTGTCTTACTCACTTCCTCTGATCAACATAAATCTACATTAAAAATTAGCACCACGTTAGCAAGACAATCACTGAACCATTTCAAAACTTAATACACAAAACACCTGTCACACCAATTTAGTTTTTTTTTTTTTTAATTTCTAAATGTGTTGCACACTGACTGGCCCATGGTTTTTCATCATCTTACACTGTTGGTTTTAATTTTTTACAGAGCTCGGCTCCCCCAGAGACCTGGTGACCAGTGATGTCACCGAAAGCAGTTTCGGAGTGTCCTGGACTGCGGCTCCGGGTAACGTTCGCCAGTACCGGATCACCTGGAAGTCTATGTTCAGTGATGAGGCTGGAGAAAAGACAATACAAGGGGACACCACGGCCACTGTTCTGGATGGTCTCACCCCTGAGACCCTTTATCAAGTGTCTGTGTTTGCTATCTATGGCCATGGAGAGGGCCAACCATTGACTGGAGAGGAAACCACAGATAGTAAGTTTTTACAGATGCTCTTTTCTATATGCTTATTGTTTTTTTTCCATGCATGACATGAAATACCTCTCACTCTGTAAACCCATCCATACATACAGTTTCACAGGCTGCAAACTGCAGAAAAAGATTGTCAAGTACCTTTGGGGTTTCTTGAGGAAATAGTAACCCCAGTTGTTCAGCTAAGAGTTTTCAAATAATGAATTGTCCAGTTGCACATTTGGTGACGTGAAGTCCAAACCACTTGTGCGTAGTTTTCATAGATGTCCACTAGAATCTGGCCCCCGTTGGATGAGGAAAGCACATTGAATGGAAACTTKCACCATTTAGAAGAGGTTTATCCACCACTTGGTGAAATGGAATGTACTCAAATGAAGTGATTTCCAACCATCGTTAGTGTTTATTAAATCTGGCCAGCCAGAAATGTGGTATACAGACCAAATACAAACAGCTTTGTCAACTCAGATGTTCTCTTTTCTTGACATCCCCCGTCTGCCCGTTGCTTTTTTTCTTCTGCTTTATATAAATCACAGGTCTCTTCGGGCTCAGCCACATGGCAAACTTGGACATGCTTCTTTTTTCCGTTAATAAAAGTCCTCCCTCTGAAGTCGAGCGTTCTGAATATTTTCCTCGGCTCATGTCGAAACCTTTCTCTATTCAGAGTTGCCTTTCCCTTCTCTGAAAAAATAAAATAAAAGTTTCATGAACTCAAGATGGAAAAAGTAAGAAGTATGTTTATGGGTTTGCTAAAGTCATCTTAAGCCTTGCTTCCATAGTCATCAACTAAACATGATCAGTCATGAAAATTTGTGCCTTTTGATGTGTATTTCTGGAAATTTGAAATAGATTTACACACGTATGGAAACCAACATAATTAAAGTGGGAAATCTGCTGCTTATATTTCCAGAGATGTATTGGAAACATGGGTGGTTTAGCTCAAATTTAGCACAGGATTCCATCTGAAAATCATCATATGCGGTGTTTTAAATGTGTTTCTCTTTGCAGTCTCAGCTGCTGGAAGAGCCATCRTTGTCTCAGAAGAGACAGAGAAAAGCATGAAGGTGGATTGGCAACCAGCCCCCGGAAACGTACTCAACTACCGCGTTACTTACAAACCGCAGTCAGGAGGACGRCAGCTGGCGGCCAAAGTACCCGGCGGGACCACCTTCACCGTGCTGAGACGCCTTACTCCACTCACTACCTACGACATCTCAGTTGTGCCAGTTTACCGTTCCGGAGAAGGCAAAGCAAGGCAAGGGGAAGGAACAACAYGTACGTTGGTTTATCGGTCACCACATCACAAWTGTTGTTTCTTCTGTTGCWTCCATCACTCATGACAGCTTYGACTACAWCCTGATCACAACCACCTCATGCTGTTTCACTTTACAACAAGCATTAAACATACCAGTTATTACACAGTGTTTGGAGATTTCTACTTTAGTCAATCTGTGCATGTCTGTCCTCTTCAGTGTCGCCTTTCAAAGGTCCAAGAAACCTTCAGACTTCAGAACCAACAAAGACTAGTTTCAGAGTAACCTGGGATCCAGCCCCCGGTGATGTCAAAGGGTACAAAGTCAAGTTCCACCCTGCTGAGGATGACATCGACCTGAGAGAACTTCTGATCAGTCCGTATGACAACACTGTGGTGCTCGAGGAGCTCAGGTGGGTCTTAAAGCTCTTTTCTCATTTCAGACACTGCAGAACCAGAACCTCATGTAAAGACACTGTTTTCTTGTTTTTTGCTCCACAGAGCCGGCACCAAATACACAGTGAGTGTGTTTGGTATGTTTGATGGAGGAGAGAGTATGCCGCTGGCTGGAGAGGAAAACACCACTTATTCTGATGATCCCGATGGTCCATATTTCCCAGCGTCAAGTAAAGTTGCTTAAGATTTTAGCTCAAATTATGAATTGCTCCTTTTAAACCACAAAACAACTAAAAACATCTGCTAGAAGTTAAAACTGAGCTCCACCACCTTTAAAGCATGATTTGGGGCAGGGACAGCCCATGGCATGGGCAGTATAGGCACATGCTAAGGGCACCCTTCATCTAGGGAGCGCCAAAAATAGAGAACAAAAAAAATATTTATAGTCAATTTAGTCTGTAGAATAGTCACTGGTTACTCAAGTTTATGAAAGTGTCTTGCCCTGTGGGGTTTTCAGCTGCTTTGTTACYACATGAGGTGTTAAATAGTGCAGAGGATATTTCATATGATGCAGTCAAGACTAACTACTGGTGCTCWGTGTGTAAATAAAAAAACAAAATAAGGATAATGGAAGTTTCAGTTCTGATCTCAGATAAAGTTCAGGTTAAAGCCTGGTCTTCAGTGTTGTAGCTCCATAAAATACTGATTTTGTTGTTTTATGAATGGCAAGAACTTAGTAAAAYGCTCTTGAAATGGCTGGAAAATAGTTTYGTGTAGATTTTTCACAAAATTTTCCAGGGAAGTATACCCCTGGACCTCTCTAGGCAGTGTGATTCAGCCCAGAGTCGGGGTCTGTCGTTCACTTAGCAACCACCATCAAACATTTGAGTTTGTATCTCACAGTAAATTTTTTTGTTTAGGAAAAACCCCTCGAGTCTTACATCCTGTAAAAGACAAAGATGTTCTATAAATGCCTTTCTACAAAGTTAAACCTGTCGCATTAATAGACGTAGTTGCTTACGTCTGTCTGTTTTTTCTTTTGAGGTTTTTAGTGCTTTTTCCAGTCCGTACAGCAGCTCTGTAAATACAAGCCATGCATGGACAATTTATTTGCAGGTTTGAAGCGTTTTAATATCCAGTTTGTCAGAACACAGTGCCTGGATAGTGAGTGTGAAGAGGAGGAAAAATGTGTTTGTTGGAAAGAACTTAAAGGTCAGTTTGACTGTCTGCTCCTAATAAGGAGACAGATGACTGCTCTGCAAAATGAAGTGAAGGTGGAAGAGAACACCTCACATTAAGAAACTGCAATTTATTTCTACTTAACAGTGGAGAACAGCCAATGTTTTTGCCGTCCTGGTCCACATGTTAACAGCAAACATAATTATCTGTAAAACAGTTTTTTTTATTTGTTTGCTGCACAACGAGCCACAGCTTCATCAAGTTCCGGTTTCTGGCAGGTGGTTCYATGTTTTGCTGTCAAAGTTTAGAAAAGCGAAGCCACAAATCACTGGTTTGTTTGTGCTAAGCTACACTTTATTTACTCACTAACTGTGAGATGTTACTTCACTCTTTCTCCCCGCTCATTCATGTTTGTAGTTTACTGCTCGGAGCAAATCTTTTCCTTTTGCAAGATGTGATTAAATGAAAAATAATTCCTAAAACAYGAAAATCAAGTAGGTGCCTCGTTATATTTCACTGCAGTTTATAGCTGTATCTTTTTATTGTTAGTTCAACTTAAAAACGGTCAAGTACGGTAATACATCTAATTGCTTTGTTTCCTCTGTGTATCATTTATAGCAGCGTGTCAGAAATATTTTATGACAGAAAATGTACCTTTGCAGGAATGCATATTTTTATGAGCAAACCCATCTGCACATTAAGTGTACTGTAACCTGTTTTTAGTTGCAGCAAGTGGCAGTTAGTGCAACATCTGCCCATCACTGTTGCACACCTGCAGCTCTCCTTTAGGTACAGAGGACTGGACCTCCTCCTTGTCATCATTACTCATGTTTGGCATACAGGATGTAAATATTACCGGCGGAGGCCTTTGATATGTGCCAGGTGCACGGAGGGCACCAAGTTCCTGTGGGACTCATGGAAGCACAACTGCTGCAGGAGAGAAGACAATTATCCCACCTGGTCCTGAAGTGACTGGAAAAGATGGAATGTTTTGGAAATGTTTAAGATTTCTGTAAATTATTTTTGCTTTTTCTTCAAATTCTGAAGTCACATCCTTTACTTTTCTTTTCATCTTCCCTCTTATGTTTCCATGAATCTCTCTTTAATTTGTTTATTTTTCTCCAGATGCATTTTTTGCATTGAAGTTAAATTGCAACTTGTTTGAAATTCACACATCTGTACCATCATAAAACCTCCACATTTCTGCCTTGTCAGATGTTGTGTGTAGGACCAATGCACAGGCTGACATTGTGCTGCTGGTGGACGGCTCCTGGAGTATCGGGCGTCTTAACTTCAAGACTATCCGGGCCTTCATTGGCCGCATGCTGGGAGTCTTTGAGATCGGACCAGATCGAGTCCAGATTGGTGCGTCCACCAATAACAAACAGTCCCAATTAAAGGCCAAATGTGATTATAAATGCACAAAATGTTGTTCTGACTAAAAGTTTGTGGTCTCTGTAGGTCTTGCACAGTACAGCGGAGACCCAAAGACTGAATGGCACCTGAATGCTCATCCAACTCGCGAGTCGCTCCTGCAAGCTGTGACCAACCTGCCCTACAAAGGAGGAAACACAATGACAGGTACTTTATTTTTTGCAGTTTTTTTAATTGTCCTTTGTAAAAGTTAAGTGATAAATCCACTTCGATCTTGAATTTTCAGGTATGGCTTTGAGCTACATCCTTCGAAACAACTTCAAAGAGAGTGTGGGGATGCGCCCCAGCGCCCGTAAGATCGCCGTCCTGATTACCGATGGTAAATCCCAGGACGAGGTCGTCCTCTCTTCTCAGAGCCTGCGGGACCAGGGCATTGAGATCTACGCCATCGGTAAGCAAACTTAATCTCCGTGAACTTTCACACACTCATAGAGGAAATAAAGAGGCTAACAACTGTWACTGGTTTCAGGTGTGAAGAACGCAGATGAGAACGAGTTGAGGTCCATCGCCACGGATCCGGATGACATCCACATGTTCAACGTGGCTGATTTCTCCTTCCTGTTGGAAATTGTGGACAATCTCAGTGACAACATCTGTAACAGTGTCAAGGGCCCAGGTACGTCTGAGTTTGGATCATATCTGGCTGACGAAAGTAAAGAACAACATAATGAATTGAAACAAATACAGGGTCCAAGTGTTGGTGCAGYGAACAAAACAAACACTTCAGTTTTCTGGAGTAGTGCAAATAAAAGAAAGTGTTATTAGTTTAAATAACAGTGTTCTGTGTAGTCACTGTGTTACAGTCAGACCTTGCTTGGAGTTAAAATGTTTGGCATTGTTATAAAACATGTGTATTAGTGAAGACAATGTCCTCAGGAGAGAGGGGGACAGAGAATGATTTGCATGTGAGTTCAGCTCCCGTAAAATGAGCAATGCACTGAAAAAAATTAAAAAGACAGCAGGATGTGGAGAACTTTCTAAAATTTTGGAAGGTTTTTCTGCTTCCTTTAATATTTTCTTGACCTCCTTGGAAAGAGAAACCTTCTGCTTCCTAATTAAATTAAGGAGCTGCTTGGGAAGGATCGACTTTAAAAGCTTAACAACAAAGTAACCCGATGTGTACAAAGTTGTGTTAGGACTTGCAACGRCTTTGCTTTTATGTGTTGCCAAATGATTTGTCCCTTTCTATGAGGAACCAAACCAATCAAAATAATCCATGTTTGTTAACTAGAATGATCTTATAAGCATTAAAGCTAACAGAAAGGCTTTTCATGTTCCTTTATATTCATTGATGCATTGTTTTTTATATTAACAGGAGGAGCTCCGGATTCCCCCACTGATCTGGTGACATCAGAGGTGACTCATCACACCTTCAGAGCCACTTGGACTGGTCCTGAAGGCCCCGTGGAAAAGTACCGTGTGGAGTACATGACTGTTTCTGGAGAGACAAAGGAGGTACTCGACAAATGATGCTGCTTCAAATTACTGC